AAATATAATTCGAAGTCTGAAAACATTTAGTTTAATTTTAATAAACATTTATTTAACTTTGCTCAAGGGGGGCTAATTATTTATGACACAACCTAAGTATTAATCATTGTAAGAAAAATCCTTTCTTAGTGGTGTAAAAATTTCCCGACTTAGCCGGGAATTAACACCGCGAGTCGGGATCGGGAGGCCAAAAACTCGGGAAATTTTCCCGAGTCGGGATACCCGAGCATCACTACCGTACAGATCAAGGCTTCTTCTTTTAGTGCCGTAGGCAATAAAAGTTTCTCAACTTCTCAAATCTCTATCATAAATTTTTATCATACTACTTTTAAAAAATTCTTTTTATAAACAAAATTCTATTATCATTTTGTATCAGAAAATATGTTGGTAGCTACATTTACTTCACATGTTTCTTTATTTTCATATCCCTTCATTGTAGGCTTTTCCCAACCACCAAATGGATAGCCATATTCATTATAATCTTCAAAATTGTTTTGCCCATTCAAATGGAAATACAAAAGTGAAGTATCGTTATATTTTCTAGTATTTCCTGTAATTTCGTGCCAATTATATTTATTTGTTATAAATCCAAAATCTAGCTTTCTTTCTTTTACAATGTTAACCATGTCCTAAATTATACTCTTAAAAGAACTTAATAAAATAACTATATTTGCCTCAATAAACTCAATATTCGAAGTCTTGTTATCTTTATCCCATCCATTAAGGTTTTCACAATCATCGAAACCATAAGTAACATACAACCAAACTCTTCCAAATTTTACTTTGTTATCATTTAAATAATCAATTACGGTTGTAAGTGATCCACTTAAATATTAAAAATTAAAAAAAACTAAAAACTTATTGCAAAAGGTGGAAGCGACTTTGCCAAGTTTACATGCCCACTAACTCTATCACTTCAATGCAATAATTTAGTAGCTGTTAATGTTTTGTTGCCTGAGAAATTCGGATTTAATGATGGATCCGGTTGTCTCATGACGCTAGCCAGATTAAGTAACGTCATATTCATTATAATCTTATATATAAACCCGAAAGGTCAACTAAAATTTAATCAAATTTACCTAGCATTTCCACATAATTCATACTCAATAGAAGGCTTAATACAAGGAGAAAAATAAATATCCACATTCTCGATCCCTGCTGCTCTAGCATTTACGATATTTAATTCTGCATTTAAATTAACATTTCCTGAATCATAATAATTAGCTGAAACAATAACAAATTCTTTTGAGTATTTTTCTTTTAAACATTTGAATGCTGAAAGTCTAAAAATTAAAAAAAAGTTTAATTAGAGTTGTAACTTTGGTTTCATTTTAAACAAAAATTTTAATAAATTTTTGATCTATGCTAATTTGTAATTTATAATGGGCGTCCATATTAAATAGAAAAAATCAAATGGTCCCGTACATCATCATCTTTTTAAAAAATGTATCGTAAAATACATAGATGTGCAAACTTACACAAAATAATTGAGACTTCTTTCATAATAATACACTGCGACGCAAAATTATACGTCCACCCCATTTTTTCGAAATTTTTTCATTTGTATTGATCCGAATTTTCTAAAAATTTAAATACACACCCTTTAGTGAATCTAACTTTTGCGTCGCAGTGTATGTATGTATAATATTCTTACCTATACCAATAATGCCATAAAAGAACTCCTTCTCTTGCCTTGACATAATTTTTAAAAAATAAAATGGGGATAAATAAAAGAAAAAAATTTATATTTTTCATTTTAAACTTTATAATTTTGGATAGTTTATATGTAAATGACCTAAAAACAAGCTAAAAATTGCTAAAAATATTTTTATGTTAAATAAAAACAAACTAAATGGATTTTTATTTTCATATACCTACATACATATCTATTTATTATTTTCTTATAAAATGCTTTTATTTACCCAAAATACTGAAACCGCGATGGTAAATAAGAAGAATATATACTTTATTAAATATTTTTGGTATGTCATAATTTAGCTATAAAAATTCATCATTATTATTTTCATTCAATTTTGCCGCAAACAAGACAGAGGGCTATCAAAAACTATATCCAGGAAAATAAATTAACTGTTCCTGATTCGCTATAAATACCACGAACAATAACAAATTCGTTTGAATATTTTTCTTTTAAACATTTGAATGTTGAAATTCTAAATATTTTATTACTAATTCTCAAGGAATATATATCTTCGCTGGAAAACTGTTTGGCGCTGGTCTAGTTTATGCGTCCAATGAAACTTTATGAGTCCAATCAAAAAATAATTGCATTTTTCATGGTGTTGCAAAGTTGGGGTATGGTTCCAAAGTATTTCTTCATGTTCGGGACCTACGCTCACTGGGTCTGGGACCATTCCTTGCCCTATTCCTCGAAATTTCGGTAAGTTATAGCCAATTTTTAAAAATTTCGAAAAAACAATAACTTTCCGAAATTTCGAGGAATAGGGCAAGGAATGGTCCTAAACCCAGTGGGCGTAGGTCCCGAACATGAAGAAATGCTTTGGAACCATACCCCAGCTTTGCAATACTAAGAAAAATCCAATTTTTTGTTGATTGGACTCATAAACTTTTCATTGGACGCATAAACTAGACCAGCGCCAACTGTTTTTGTGCTGCTACGGAGGGTACGGGCGTGGTCTTCGCTACACGATGGCCGTGCTTCGCTGCGGTCGTGCTCGCTTCGCTCGCGGCGAGTTCCTCGGCCGTCGTTCCGCTCGACATGCCCTGCTTCCTCCGCAGCGGCAAGAACTTTTTTCCGCGTAGACCTTGTGGAAGGGGAAAAACAAACGGTCACAACTTTGTCGAATAAAGTCGGATTTCGTTGATTTTAATGTCATTCGACTCAGCTCGAGGATCTCTTTCGAATAAGATATAATTTGCATATTCGAATTTTTCACCCCCAAAAAAGTGCTTGGTCCCCCCTATGGGTTTTCGAACTTTAGAGTGCTGTATCTCGGCTCGCTGTTGAGTCCGCCGCCTAATTTTGGTGTCATTCGACTCAGCTCGACGAGCTCTTTCGAATGACGGCTTCTGTGTCTTATACCGAAATTTTACCGTCTTGACATTTTTAAAAATTGTCAAAAATAAAATGGACTTGAATACTATAAGCAACAAATAAATACTACTCATTCTAAAATTCTTTAATTTATTTTTTACAAATAAAAACAAAATAGATTTTTACTTTTTTATTAATTTTATTTATGTTTATGTATTTCTAATAAAATGCTTTACATTATTTTATTATTACCCAAAACACGCATAGCGAACTGAAACCGCGACGGAAGGTAAAATGATTAATTTAAATTGTAATGCTAAAGTTGAAGGTTTTACAAAATTAAATAGAAAAAAATAAAACTTTCATCCAAACTATAATCAGGATATAAGCAGTGATTGGAATTTTGAAATTTGCTCGCACTCGTACTTTCGGACAGGCCTTATTTTTTCCTCGTATTTTCTCGTACTTGGGAAATATGCAAAAAAATTTATAATTTTATGATTTTTTGATGGCAATGGCATATGGCTGAAATATGGCTTGAATATGGCTTCGAAATATGGCTTCGAGCCGGAGCTAATAATTAAATGCCAAATACCCAGCACTGCTCATAATAGCAACAATTATTCTCTCAATATCTGGTTGGAGAAGTATACAGGCTTGCAGGAGGAAGAGGATTAAGTTGGATATTGGATGATTTGATGTTATACTTTTTATAGTTTACCGGTTTTTGTATATATGGGTCTAGTTTTTTTATTTTTTCATATTATTATCATGTATCCTTGCTATAATTTTTGTAGATATCTTTTTTGAAAAGTTGACTTATAATTTTGTGGAGGTCTAAAATGCAAATTTTAGTCTAAAAATTTTTTAAGTAAAAAATCAAAATTTAAGTAAAAATCAAAAATCAGCCAAGAATCAATACACATCTTATTAGTTATTCATTAAAAGGTGTCTATACAAATTTTCAGAAAATTTGTATTATTGAAAATTAAAAAATCTCGAAAAAAAGAGATGGACTTATAATTATGTGGAGCAGTGTATTTGATATTGAAAAAAATAAGTCCAGAGTTACTATTAGGATATTTATGGTATGTATTTAAATACATGACAAAGGTTCTTTATATTTTCTTCAAAAAGTTTCAAATTTTCAATATATTAGCGACATCAATTCCACATATCTTCTTAAAAGATAATCTGTTTTACTGCTCCCCAAAAATTTATGCAATTATATTTATCAACTTTTTGCTTAATAATATACATATTTTCGAAAGCACTGAGAATATGTATGATGTTAGATTTGACATAAAACATAATCTAATGTAAGCTTTTCAAAAATCTTATTTTTTAGAACCCAAGTCAAAAATCAAAGTTTCTACGTAAATAATGGGCTAGGAATCTTGATGACATTATGGATTAAAGTAAAAAATTATAGCTTTTTGAAAATCTTAGATTATGTCTTACAATAAATCTAACATCATATTCGAGCTAAGGGTATGAGAAAAATTTTTAATAAACAAATCTAAAAAAATGTGCCCTTGAGGATTTTTCGAGTGCAGTAAAGCTGAAGATTACCGTATTTAAATATAATTCTTTATTGTAGGCTTTTCCCAACCACCAAATGGATAACCATATTCATTATAATCGTCAAAATTGTTTTTATCATCAAAATGATAATAAATAAGCGGAGTATCGTTATATTTTCTTGTATTTCCTGTAATTTCGTGCCAATTATATTTATTCGTAAAAAATCCAAATGTCTGGTTTCTTTCTTTTAATGTGTTGACCATTTTCTTAAATTTTATTGATAAATGATTTAGCGAAGCTTGCTCGACAAAATATCATGTTTAACATAATGCCAAAAGAATAAAAATTTTAGTGAGACAATACATATTTATAGAGCTAGGAACGGGATCTTTTAACTATAAATTTTATCATACTACTATATTTATAAAAATTCTTTTTTATTCACAAAAAATTTTTTTTCATCTCATTTTGTATCAGAAAATATATTAGCAGTTACATTTATTTCACAATTTATTTTATTTTCGTATCCCTTCATTTTAGGCTTTTCCCAACCACCAAAAGGATAACCATATTCATTATAATCTTCAAAATTGTTTTGCCCATCCAAATGGAAGTAAATAAGCGGAGTATCGTTATATTTTCTAGTATTCCCTGTAATCTCATGCCAATTATATTTACGTGTCATAAATCCAAAATCTTGTTTTCTTTCTTTTAAAGTGTTTACCATATCCTTAAATTAACGATTTTATCTTTACTAAACTAACAAAAATTTGCCTCAATAAACTCAATATTCGAAGTCTTGTTATCTTTATCCCATCCATTAAGGTTTTCACAATCATCCGCACCATAAACAATATACAACCAAACTCTTCCAAATTTTATATTGTTATCATTTAAATAATTGAGTACTTTTGTAATTGATCCACTTAAATAATAAAAATTCTAAATTAGTAAATTTAAAATTTTTCAAAAACTTTTTTGGTCGAAAACCAATGGGCGCAAAGCTTGTGTTTCTCCTGTACCGGTATGTAAAGCATATCCCTATTTACTAATTCCTAAGGCTGTACAGTAGGCGGCGTGCTGTAATGGCTAACACATCCGTCCGGTCTAATGAAGATGCTGGTTCGCTCCCAGCCTCGAATAACCTTTTACACTAGCTAAAGGAGAGAAATAGCTATAACCCAGCTGCTTTACTGGTATTGAAACGGTTCGGTACTAAGAATCGAGCTATAACCAAAATTTAATCAGATTTACCTAGCATTTCCACATAATTCATACTCCGTAGAAGGCTTAACACAAGGAGAAAAATAAATATCTACATTATCAATCCCTGCTGTTCTAGCATTTATTATATTTAATTCTGCATTTAGATTAGCTTCTCCAGAGTCGTAATAATTAGCTGAAACAATGACAAATTCTTTTGAATTTTCCTTTAAACATTTGAATGTTGAAACTCTGAATATTATAGAATGTAAATTTTGGGTTAGGTTTGATTAAAAATCTTTTGATATAATTTTTTAGGAGAGATAGTCGGATGAATCTCCTTACAAGGAAACCGGTGCTTAATCTGTATCCTAGTATAATGAGGTGTATGGGGGATCCAATTAAGGACGCACCCAAAATAATTGAGTAACCACCTCAATACTGCTAATACTTTTCATAACAATTAATAAATATTTTTACCTATACCAATCATGCCATATAAGAACTCCTTCATTTGCCTTGACATAATTTTTAAAAAATAAAATGGGGGAAAGTAAAAGAAGGAGATGATTTACTATATTTTTCATTTTAAACTCAATTAAAAGTAATTTGAAAAAATGCTAAAAAGATTTTTTATGTTGAATAAAAATAGACTAATAGTACATATAAACATATCTGGTTATTATTTATTGTCCTGCATAGTTTTATTAATATTATGAATTACCCAAAACACGTATAGCGAACTGTAACCGCGACAGATATAAAGGAGATTATTTAATTTATAAAATATTTTTGGAATGTTAAAGTTTAAAGTTTCACGAAATAGATAGAAAAAATACTTTCACCTCAGCTATAATTAGTAAAGTTAAATAGAATATAAAAGACTTCTAAATCCAATTTCAGATGCCTAAGAACCAGAGGTGGTCGGAATTCCTATTTCCGACCTCCATTTCCGATGTTTTTTCCTCCCGATTTCCGAAAAAAATTTTGATTTCCGATTTCCGAGTTCCGACTTTTGAGCCAGTTCCGATTTCCGGCTATCTGACTGTTCCGACCCACCTCTGCTAAGAACTCGAGACGAGCTATACACAATCTTTCAATGATATGTTAGAAAATAAAAATGTCAAACCACAAACAGAAAATTTCTATGATTAAAAACCCTTCTGATTTTGGCTGGTCGGTTCTAAGAATGAATCTTCGATTTGATTACGAACCGACAACTTACCCTTAAAAGTAGTGCTCAGCAAATGGATTATTCCAATACCAACACTAGTAGTACCAAAGGTACTAATATTGAAAAGTACTGTCGAAAAATTTACGGTAGTACCGCGGTACTTCGGTATTCACAGCAAAATGATATAATAAATAATATCATTGTTTAAGCATTTTTAGTGACTAAATTCAATCCAGGATTAGGTTTAAGAGATGAGAATGCTTCGCAACATTATTCTAGCCAGGAGATTTGGCATATCGTCTATCAAGAACGATCAAGGAGGATATTGGTAGTTTTGTAGAGATATCAGTTGATTTGATGAAAAAATCCACCGATATACCAAGGATTAATGGGGAAATCGTTGGATTTGGAGAGTTAACGGAGATAAAAAGAGTTTCTATAAAAAGTTTCTTAACTCATCTTAATTAAGGTGGTTTTAAACTCATCTCTTAAGGTGGTAGAATAAATTCAGGGGTTTAGTTTATTCATATCCGATAGTTAAATCTTTATCATTTTTATCAGTTAAATTTTTATCATAATTCTTCATCATTATAAAAAATTTCAGATTTGCAATATGTTACCCACTTCAATTTCACAAATTGTCGTAGAATTATATTCCTTCATTGTAGGCTTTTCCCAACCACCAAATGGATATCCATATTCATTATAATCGTCAAAATTGTTTTTACCATCCAAATGGGAATACAAAAGTAGAGTATCGTTATATTTTCTAGTATTAATACTTTTCATAACAATTAATAAATATTTTTACCTATACCAATCATGCCATATAAGAACTCCTTCATTTGCCTTGACATAATTTTTAAAAAATAAAATGGGGGAAAGTAAAAGAAGGAGATAATTTACTATATTTTTCATTTTAAACTCAATTAAAAGTAATTATAAAAAAATGCTAAAAAGATTTTTTATGTTGAATAAAAATAGACTAATAGTACATATAAACATATCTGGTTATTATTTATTGTCCCGCATAGTTTTATTAATATTATGAATTACCCAAAACACGTATAGCGAACTGTAACCGCGACAGATATAAAGGAGATTATTTAATTTATAAAATATTTTTGGAATGTTAAAGTTTAAAGTTTCACGAAATAGATAGAAAAAATACTTTCACCTCAGCTATAATTAGCAGAGCTGTTTCGAAATTTCGATTTTCGATTTTCGTTTTTCGATTTTCGAGGTTTTTTTCCTTTCGATTTTCGATTTCCGATTTTCGAAATTTAGCAATATTTTCGATTTCCGATTTTCGAATTTTTGAAAAAATTTGAATTTTTGGCGCCAAAAAGTAGGAATTCTGACTTATCGGCCATCATAAATTTAAAAGATTTTCGCCTGCGGCGCAGAAAAAGGAAGATTTTTGGCTTAAGGATCCTCCAAAATTTTTAAAATTTTCGCCTGCGGCGCTGAAAAAGGAAGAATTTGGTGACTTGGTCTTCCAAAATTCTCAAAATTTTTGACTCGGGCGGTAAAAAAGGAATCCCTGACCTATTAGCAATATTATGTTTCGGATCCGGTATATTGTAGGATTTGCTTGAATTATCGTGGATTTGGAAGCCCATCCCCATGCCGGAACCTTATGCCTGTACCGCCCAACCTTATAAGTAAATGTACCGCCCAACCTTATAAGTAATCAGGGCATTTGGAGGATATCGAGTGATTAAGAGAAATAACAGGTAATTTGGATGGATATAGACGGATTTGTAGGTATTTTGGCATTAAGAGGGATATAGTGGGATTTAAGGTGAATATCGACGGATTTGGAGGATCTTAGGATTAGAGAGATATAAGGGGATTTGGGATGGATATCTACGGATTTGTATTCTGGGATTAAGAGGGATATAAGCGACATACCTATATTATTTCACCTCTTAATCTCCCCATATCCTCTTATATCCCCCTTAAGTATTACTTCCATTATATCACCCTTAATCCGTCCACATCCATCTTAATCCTCCGATATCATTTCCATATCCTATTGTCCCCGATATACTCTCAAATACACAGATTTATATGGTATTCCAAAATTTTTTTAAAAATTTGATATTTGATCAAATATTTGATTTTGCAAATCAAATTTTTTCAAATATCAAATAATTCTCAAATTATTTGATCAAATATTTGTTTGATGACTTTTGGGAGAAATCAAATTTTTTCAAATATCAAATAATTTTCAAATTATTTGATCAAATATTTGATTTTGTCTTTTGTCCGATAATTAGTAAAGATAATTAGTAAAGTTCTGATAATAATAACTTTACTAATTATCCTCTGATAATTAGTAAAGTTAAATAGAATATAAAAGACTTCTAAATCCAATTTCAGATGCCTAAGAACCAGAGGTGGTCGGAATTCCTATTTCCGACCTCCATTTCCGATGTTTTTTCCTTCCGATTTCCGAAAAAAATTTTGATTTCCGATTTCCGAGTTCCGACTTTTGAGCCAGTTCCGATTTCCGGCTATCTGACTGTTCCGACCCACCTCTGCTAAGAACTCGAGACGAGCTATACACAATCTTCCAATGATATGTTAGAAAATAAAAATGTCAAACCACAAACAGAAAATTTCTATGATTAAAAACCCTTCTGATTTTGGCTGGTCGGTTCTAAGAATGAATCTTCGATTTGATTACGAACCGACAACTTACCCTTAAAAGTAGTGCTCAGCAAATGGATTATTCCAATACCAACACTAGTAGTACCAAAGGTACTAATATTGAAAAGTACTGTCGAAAAATTTACGGTAGTACCGCGGTACTTCGGTATTCACAGCAAAATGATATAATAAATAATATCATTGTTTAAGCATTTTTAGTGACTAAATTCAATCCAGGATTAGGTTTAAGAGATGAGAATGCTTCGCAACATTATTCTAGCCAGGAGATTTGGCATATCGTCTATCAAGAACGATCAAGGAGGATATTGGTAGTTTTGTAGAGATATCAGTTGATTTGATGAAAAAATCCACCGATATACCAAGGATTAATGGGGAAATCGTTGGATTTGGAGAGTTAACGGAAGATAAAAAGAGTTTCTATAAAAAGTTTCTTAACTCATCTTAATTAAGGTGGTTTTAAACTCATCTCTTAAGGTGGTAGAATAAATTCAGGGGTTTAGTTTATTCATATCCGATAGTTAAATCTTTATCATTTTTATCAGTTAAATTTTTATCATAATTCTTCATCATTATAAAAAAATTTCAGATTTGCAATATGTTACCCACTTCAATTTCACAAATTGTCGTAGAATTATATTCCTTCATTGTAGGCTTTTCCCAACCACCAAATGGATATCCATATTCATTATAATCGTCAAAATTGTTTTTACCATCCAAATGGGAATACAAAAGTAGAGTATCGTTATATTTTCTAGTATTTCGTGTAATTTCGTGCCAATTATATTTATTTGTTATAAATCCAAAAGTCTGGTTTCTTTCTCTTAGAGTGTTGACCATTTGCTTAATTAATTATTATTATTGGGCAGCAAATTCGTGCTATTGGGACGTCTTATGAGAGATTTTTTCCAAAGATTTTGAGAGATCCCAAGGGATAATGAACATAAGGAGAAAAGACCCCCAAGTGAACCACCAGCAGCTGGATCTTTCTCTTCCGTACTCGATTAAATACTGTCAAGTATTATTAAATAAATTTTAAAATCCATACATCAATAGGCTCAATATTTAGAGTTTTGTTATATTTATCCCATCCAATATATTTATCCCATCCATTATATTTATCCCATCCATTATATTTATCACAGCCAACTAAACCATAAATATACAACCAAATCCTTCCAACCTTTGCATTACGTTCATCTAAATTATCGAGGATGCTTGTGATAAATTTTCTAAAAACAAATTAAATAAAGTAGTTAAAGCACAACAGTATTTTCTCTAAATAATTAGAGAACTAAAAGGAAGCCGGGTCATTTTTATTTTTTTTATTACTTTATTTATTTCCTTTCTACATCTTTAGGGATTTAGAAAAGCTCATTTCAAAAAAAACAGAACTGTAAGAACGTGGCTGGAACTGTACAAAATATCCGGAACCAAAACCCCTTAAATTATGCAGGAGGCAGTGTGTTTTAATGGATAATACACAGTCCAACTGAAGATGCTGGCCCACTCCCAGTCCTTTAACCTTTTGCATTGAAGAAATAGATATCCCAGTTAAGAATTATTATATGCAGATATTACCTAGCATCTCCACATAGTAATTGATAGGCAGGATAAGAAGAAGGATCAACACAGGGAGTAATATAAATATCTATATTTTCAATTCCTGCTGTTCTAGCATTTAATATATTTAATTCTGCATTGTCATCAATAGTTCCAATATTTTGATAATTGGCATTAATTATAATAAATTCGATTGAGTATTTTTCTTTTAAACATTTGAATTGCGAAATTCTAAATACCATATTTATTCTAGTAGAATGGCCCCTTTTTGGGAGTAATGAAAAATAGAATAGCTGCCATTCTATTAGAATAAATACGGTATATTTTAATTAAAATTGTGTAAGGGAATATAAAAAATAGTTTTTACCTATACCATTTTTCCTGTATAGAGACTCCTTCACTTGTCATGACATTTTTAAAAATTGTTAAAAATAAAATGAACTCGAATAAAAAATAAATTTTGCTCATTTTGAAATTTGTATTATATTTTTATAAAATAAATTTGTATTTTTATAATTATAAACAAAAATAGAACTTTTACTTTTTTTATTATTTTATATATTTATTTAATGTTTATTTGTTTCTAATAAAAGCTTTTACCCTAAACAGGTAACGCACTGAAACAGCGATAAAAAATTTAATTATGAAAATCCAACATCAATTATTTAACATCTACAAACATATAACCAGACACAACGTAAACCGATACATATTAACTAGGGTTGAATTGATTAAATTTGATAATAATTTTCTAATCTTAGGAAAAATCCACAAAAATTCGTTCAAACATATCCATCGATACTAAGAAAAATAAAAAAGAACTAGGCCAATAACATATTTTAATTCCGAGATCTCGACTCACTGGAAATCAACGTAGAACAAGGGTAAATCTCTTTAAAAAAATTTCGACGCCTCATAAATTATTTTTAATTTTCATTTTGAGCTCATTCGAAAGCCCTTGAAAGTTGCTACAAGATACCAAAATATTATTTTCCTTAATTTAAATTATTACTAATATGTAGATTCAAGAAACAAATGTTATTATTGTAATACATATGTAAAATGTGCAAATGTCACCGTCCAAATTATATTTTAGGACAAATAGTATTTGTCCGGCCTGATTCATTTGGCATTATGAGTATATACGAAAATCTATTATCATGCTAGAATTGTAAAAGATGTACCAATGTTTAATTATCTGTGGACCAGTAAACAGGGTACAGCCCGATTAGGCGCGGGCCAATTAGGCGCGACCGATTAGGCGCGACCGATTAGGCGCCGGCCGATTAGGCGCGCGGCCAATTAGGCGCCGGCCGATTAGGCGCCAAGCTTTTAAATTAAATAGTCTAATTATAGTCAATTAGAATGGTCCCATTGACCATCAAATGGAACCATTATGAATTATAAAACAAAAATTTTCCAAAATTAAAAAAACCGGCCTAACTACAGTTTCCGTACCAGACAAAATTGGACAATTTATATGTCATTCGAAAGAGCTCGACGAGCTGAGTTGAATGACACCAAAATCAACTCGATTGAATGATTATAAACAAGGTTATGACCAACTGAATCTTCGCTGGAAAAACTGTTTTTGTGCCGCTGCGGAGGAAGCCGGGCATGGTCTTCGCTACACGATGGCCGTGCTTCGCTGCGGTCGTGCTCGCTTCGCTCGCGGCGACCGTAGCGAAGCGGCGGCCGTCGTTCCGCTCGACATGCCCGGCTTCCTCCGCAGCGGCAAAAACTTTTTTCCGCGGAGGCCTTATGGAAGGGGGTGTTAATTAAAAGCTTGGCGCCTAATCGGCCGGCGCCTAATTGGCCGCGCGCCTAATCGGCCGGCGCCTAATCGGTCGCGCCTAATCGGTCGCGCCTAATTGGCCCGCGCCTAATCGGGCGTGTCCCCAGTAAACAGAACAGCACGCAATTGCGGATTGCGTTTGCGGAAAATTTTTATAATTTCGTGCATCCAAGTTAAATTTGAAATTTTTTTGAAGAGAATAGTAAAGAATTATTAGTTATCTAAATATTTTTCAAAAGAAATTATTGTTGTTTATTTATTTGTTTGTCTTTTTCAATTATATTATAGGAGATGTTAAAAATCAGAGTGGCTCTTCCAAAACAATACAATAAGGCGCAATCAGTCCTAACTGCAAGTCTTGAGTTTCACGCCAAAATGTCGCCTATTTACTTATAATTTTGATCTTAAAAGATGAAAGTGTCGAGGGTCTTTCGAGGAATTTTGGTCTCTGTTATGCTGGTCTCTATTACCTCTCTATTATGGTCTCTCTCTATTATAAATGGGTACACCCCGATGTACCGCGAGCCCAATGTACCGCCGAGCTATAACTTTGTTCAAAATTGTCGAATCCGTGGCGCCCCGGTATGGTTCGATGCGGCTAGACAATCTGAACCGAACCATACCAGGGCGACACGGATTCGACAATTTTGAACAAAGTTATAGCTCGGCGGTACATTGGGCTCGCGGTACACTGGCCTGCTCCCATTATAAATTAAATTTAATCTTTATAATTTTCTATTTTATTTTGTAAAACTAATTTTATTAAGTAAATAAATACTTAATTTTGTTCCTTTAAAAAAAAGGGAAGGGAATGACAATTTTCAATCTATTCAAAATATCCCATTCATATTAACAAACCATCTAAACGAACTAAATAACTTAAACGGGTGGCCCATTTTTGGCGGAGCGGGCCAGTTAAGTTAAACAGAAAGAATTTGACTCGTTTCCGCCAAAAAAGGGCATAGACAAATTATTTGTTAAATAATGTTGCGCAAAGGTAAAGGAAGTTGCGCGTGATTTAATACCTAAACAAAGTAAAAATAAATTTTTTTATTTTTCCACAAAAGTACAGCAGAGCGAACGAGATAAAATTTTGATATTAAGTATCGCAAACGAAAATTTTGAAAAATTTTTAAAGAAAAACGAAATTGCCAACAAATTAACTTTCAAACCCAAACCCTATAAATCGTAGCGAATTGAGCAAGTCTAACGCCTTGACACATGAAAGAAATTATAAGAATATTTTTCTCTTTTCTATTTCGAAATGTGCGGATTTTTCCAGATTTTTGGTTTTCTGATAGTTTGATGAGGAATCTTTTTAGAAATGCGGATTTGCGGATTTTTGTTTATTTTTAAGATTATGAGGATTTTTTTATATTTTCTTGTAGTTTTGAGAATAAATTGGCATTTTTTCTCTTAAAGCCTTCCAAAATTTTCAAAATTGTTTCTAAAAAAGTGAATTATTGGTGCCGAAATCGCTAAAAAAGTTCTTAAAATTTTTTATTTCTACCGAATGGAATTTATTAAAAGTTGAGAGGCGAAAGCATTAGCTCAGGTAAAGTGTAATTTTTTATTTAAATTGCTCAATTTAATTGATGGAGTAAAAAATGGTTTTAATTCAATTTTTGTTTGTTAAATTTCTGTACATTTTTTGTATAAAATGCCGATTTTTTAGATTAAAATTGCGGATTTAAAAAAAATTCGAGATCGAAACCCTGCTATTAATTCCAAATACAAGAAAGTATTTATTGAGAAATAAATTGAAAAAGATACATATTTTGGCTATTCTCCCTTATAAAATATTTTCTTTAAGCTTTTCTAAAATGATCATCTCAAAAAGACGTATTATTCGAATTAGTATACCTTTTATTGTCTTAATTGTATCTACACTAATTATTTTTAATACTTTAATATTTATAAACAATGAAGATATTGGAGAACAAAATTTAAAATTATTTGAAAGTGAGAAAAATGTGAGGAATTCTTATTCAAAACTTTCTTAAAAGGTCAAAATAATCGATCCCTATCCCTATTAAAAACCCAATCCCTATTAATCCCTATATATCTGATCTCTATTAACTATTAACAAATAAGCCTTGAAATTTATACTATGTATATTTTTTTATCTTTATTTTCTTTTCAACATTTTTCCAGCAAAATATGGTGATGATAAATTACCGGGATGGCATAAGAGAATGGTAAAAAATAATTTTAAAAAATGTATTTTTTAGAGTGTTCCTGTTAGCAGGCCTCCTCCAACTATTCTTATGTGGAATAAAATTTTTGGCGCTTCTCTAGCAGAAAGTTTGCTTCAATATAAAAATTATGGACAATGTTTTTATGAATGCATTTATACAGATAATCGTTCTCTGTATGTTTTGGTCTTATAATTTAGGAATACCAAACGGAGCGGAAATATCTATTTGAATTAAAGGTCATTTGAAAGAACTCGTAGAGCTGTGTCGAATGACACCAAATTCAGTCTGATTCGACGATTTTGAATAAAATTATGACTTACTGAATCTTCTCTGGAGGGCTAGGCCGGAAATCCGTAAAAAGGTATAGGTTTATGATACTAGTGAAGAACCCAGCAATATAGGTTACATTGACCATTTTGAGCCTGAGCTTTTTTAAGCTCAGAATTTAGACTCGAGCTTATTTTTATTTTGCTCGACTCAGCTCGAAGAGCTCTTTCGAATGACAATATAATTTAACAATTTAATACCAAAGACTTATATTTTTGAAATTTACGAAGCACAAGAGACCCAACTCCTTCGTTCATTTATCCTTAAAAACTTTTAAATTAAAAAATTTTCAGAGAACAAACAGCTTCAATATTAGTTTTCCATATTCGTGATAATCTTGATAAAATGCCAGAACATCGAACACCTCAACAACTTTACACATTTTTTATTCTTGAATCTCCGCCGCATACTTGGGGACTAGGAAGGACAGTTCCTCCCGACTTTTTTAATATTTCAATGACTTATAGAGCAGATAGTGATGTATATTATCCTTATGATATGTTTGAAGAATATACTAAAAAAGATTTGAAAGGTGGATTAGTTACCTATGATCAGATTTGGACTGAGAATGAGGTGAATAATTGATAAAATAATTTGTTTATTTTTTAAAGAAAATAAGGCTATAGTATAAGGCCCCCGGAGCCTTATTATCCGTCCTCGCAGTTCGAATTCCCCGCAACCCCTGTTCCCCGTAGAGCCCTAGTTACTACGAACAAAAAAGCAACCATTGACTCCCGCGATACGCGTTTTGCACAAGCTTCTTGCTGATTCCAATATGTATACTTGGTTATATTTCTGTATCGCAACTTTGTCCAAACTTGTTTCGACTCAGTGTGTCATTCAACTATACTGCACTACATATATCCGAAAATATTTGTTTTTCAAGATTGATAAGAAAATAAAAGCAAAGGATAAACTTGCTTTACAAATTGTTTCAAATTGCAATACAAAATCGCTTCGTGAAAAATATGTTAATAAATTGAAAGATTTAATACAAATAACTCAAATTGGTACTTGTTCTGATGGAATACTAGCAATCCTGAAGAATTGGGGAGTTAATACATTAAAAATTATTTTTTTCTAAAAATCATTTTATCTGGTTTAGGATAATATCAATTTTTTCATGTTTTTCTTCCAAACAGTTGTCTCCATTTGAACCTATTACCCTCATATAATTACCCTCTCTCGAATGATTACCCTCTTCAGCGAGAGGTCGAAACAATAATTACCCAGGGTAATTATTCGAGCATATATCAATTAACAGTATATCAATTAATAGGCAAAATGTCCTGTCTGACAAAATCTGATATCAAATTTGTGATAAGCATTGTCAATTACCTATATAAAATGATTTTGAGAAGAAAAGAATAATTTTTAAGGTGACTCCCTAATTTTACAGGATTACCGGAAAACGAGCATGTAATGAAGATTGTGCAGATAAATTAATTGGTTGGTAAGTTTAATAAAAATATTTTGGCTCTAGTTTAGGAGAGAAAATTTGAAATTTTTTTTTAATTTCAAAAAAATATAAATCTCATGAAATTTCAAGCGTCCCATCAAGGTATAAGCATCCCATTGTTTATGGAAACTTTTAAATTAGAGGGGTTTTCATGATTGGTTTTAAAACAATAAATTTTGATATTTCATACCAAAAATGTTAACAATTTTTACAAAATTTTAAAAATCGAAACTGAAAATATTATGAAAATGAGTGATTTTTAAAAATATTTCCTTAAAATAAAACCGGCATTTAATTAAAAAACTTTAAACTTAAGTTTACAAATTTAAATTTTTAAGATTCTCATCATTTTTATTTTGCCTTTGAAAATTCTGTTTGTGTTAATTATGTAACAGAAAAATTTTGGAGACTTAAAAGCTTAATTGTGCCTGTAGTTTTATCAAGAAAAATATTTGAAGGATTAAATATCCCAAATGATTCATTTATTGCAGCAGATGATTTTAAAAGTCCAAAAGATTTGGCATCTTTTTTAGAAAAATTAGCAGCAGATAAAGAACGATATAAAAGGTCCAAAATGGAGTAATAAGAAAATTATTAATCTTTAACATTATTAGAGAGTTAAACGAGTAAATACGGTATACTTACTTTATTTACTTACCGTATACTTACCGTATTTACTCGATTAATTCCCTACCCTCGAATAATTCCCCACCACCTAATAATTCCCCATGCCACGGATGGGTTGAAAAAATAATTCCTCGGGGGAATTAATCGAGTAAATACGGTATACTTACTTTATTTACTTACCGTATACTTACCGTATTTACTCGATTAATTCCCTACCCTCGAATAATTCCCCACCCTCTAATAATTCCCCATGCCACGGATGGGTTGAAAAAATAATTCCTCGGGGGAATTAATCGAGTAAATACGGTAGATTGGAACATAAATAATAAGCCCCATTGAGTTAAACGGATTAAATAACTATTAAAATTCAACAAGATTTATAAGAGTACAAATTTTTTTGCCTATTTTCTGGTGAAAAATCAGAATCATAGAAAAAATTTTCGAGAGTGGGAAAAATCCAAAAATTTGTATTTTTGAAGTTAGGCAACTTCTGAGTGATTTTTCGGTAATATTTCGGCAAAAACATGATGAGCTCTTTCGAATGTATATAATCTGTCTTAGAAAATGGAAAAAAATAGAACAGAAAAAGGAGGGGGGAAAGGAGGAAAAAACTGTGTAGCCAAAAACTGCCTAGCCAAAAAACTGTCTAGTAAATGAGTTATAAATAATTGATACCTTAATAAAATCCATTTTCTTGTAGTATAACAAAACTACCATTGGCTCTTCGATCAGTCAATATTTTAAGGTCCTAGAGGAAGATTTCGACCGTAAACATAATATAGTCCAAAAATAAATTTTGGATATGGTTCGGGAAATAGGCTGTAACTTTTTTATACTCGATAGTAATGCATAGAAATTTGCACAAACGATATCTAACATCCTTATTAATAAAATAAAAAATAAATTAGGTAAATCGGTTAGGAAATAAAAAAGTTATGAATTTTAAACTCAAAGGGGCTAATTAGGTATGTTCAACCTAAATAAATCTCTTTTCAGTTATTTTCGTTGGACAAAAAAATATAAAAAAACAAAGAATACAAACAATATTTCCAATCCTCTTTGTAATCTTTGTAAAATGGCACATATAGACAATAATGAATTAAAAATAAAAAATATTTATGATTTTTGGAATGGAGGGGGGAAATGCCAACATGGATTTGCTTTAAATGTTTTGCTCGGTTAATTTATTTTTTTATTCAAATAATTATTTCTGTCTCATTTTATTTTTGAAATCCAGTGATTATTTTAAATATTTGCTTAATTTTTTGTGATATCAAAGAAATTTTTCGTTAATTTTTGGAAGGGGGGGGGGAATGTCAACAAGGATTTGCTTAAAATGTTTTTCTCCCATAAAATATTTTTTTTTGCATAGCTAGCGAACCTGAAGCTTCCGGCGGGAACGTGGGTCTCATCATTGGGGGTGTCATTGCCGTTGTAGTCCTGTGAGTTTTATACTATTTTTGATTTGGGTTATTTAACAAAATTACATTTAAAATAAAATTATAGGCTTGCTCTTGTTAGTGCCATTGTCTGGTTCTTCGTGCTCCGCAAAAAAGGTGAAGAAGAAAAGGGAATGGAAATAGGAATGACCGCTGCTAGAGGTATGAAGACGAACAAAGTTGGAGCGACTCAAGCAACGATAGGCGAAATGACTACTATTGGAGGAATGCAAGCCAAAACAGGTGGAGCGACACCTGCTGGAGGAGCTACATCGAAAGCTTCTGGAACAACAAAGGGAGGAGCGACATCGAAGCCTGGAGGGGCAACGTCAAAGAAGCATAAGAATGTAAGATAAGTGAAGATGACATAATCTCTCCTTTTCCTTTTTATGAAAGTTGGACATATACTTTAAATTGAAAAATTATAACAGGGTATTAATGATTCAAACTTGGGTTGGACATAACCGGTCATCAATCGGTACCCCCAGTTTTCGGTTCCGGTTTATGACTGATCCTCGGTTTTTGGTGAACCAAGACCGGTTTTTGATTAAATTTTTCAAAAGGTTATCCTATTTTTTGAAAAAAGGTGGCCGTATACTTTTGTTGAATAGTGTATTTAATCTCATTCAAGCCATCTTCTTTTCTCCTCACGCCTGCCATCTTCCACTTCTCATTTGTTTCACCGGTCAGTAGGGGTATATAGCCGGAGCTCTGAAAAACTCGAGACCAAGACTTCACAATATGACCAAGACCAAAAAACCCCAAGAAAATTCGTGAGTCAAGACTGATAATTTTAAAAATTTTTGAATAGGTATATTTTAAAAAATAGAAAAATTGTAATTTAGTTTGTTTTTATGCAATATACATAAAGCATTTTTATCAATTTTTATAATAACTTTTATCAAAAATCTATCCAAATATAAGTTTAAAATGAACATTGTAAATCTTATTCTAATATTTTTCCCCATTTTATTCCTCATAATAATGGGGGAGTTGTTATATGGAATGATTGGAATATTAATTGGAATAAGTAATTGGAATATTCAAAATTATTATTGAAAAATGTTAATCCCGAATATATACCTATATAAAGTCATAACGAACCGAATTTTTTTTCACTAACCGAACCGAATTTTTTAGCGAATAAAATGACATTATTCACAAGAGGGGGAATAATAGTGCCCGGCAAAATCATCTTTCAGGGTCCAGAAACCGGATTTTGTTTAAATTGTCCCCAGGCTGACATTGTCACGTGCGTAGCAGGAGTCTCATACTGTTTAAAATGGGATTCATCTCTTTTATCCTCCTCTTTTAGCGATGATTTTGAAAATTTTGTAAAACGATGAAGCCACATTTCTTTCTTTTTTGCGCGAAGGCAAAAATTTTGAAAATTTTCGAAGAAAAAATTTGAAAATTTGTCTCATTTGCAAGAATTCCTCTATTTACAATAGACCAACTTTTAATAAAAAATAAGTTTATAATAAATAGCTATATGCTTTACAATATTAATTAACAGACAAATGTGTACATACGTTATCACTTTCTTCAAATAATTCAAACTTGCAATAGTTTAGCGACTTTAATTTCACAAATTGTCGAAGAATTATATCCCTTCATTGTAGGCTTTTCCCAGCCTCCAAAAGGATAACCATATTCATTATAATCTTCAAAATTGTTTTTACCATCCAAATGGAAGTAGATAAGCGGAGTATCGTTATATTTTCTAGTATTTCCTGTAATTTCGTGCCAATTATATTTATCTGTGTAAAATCCAAATGGCTGGTTTCTTTCTTTTAGAGTGCTGACCATTTCCTTAAAATTATTACTTTTCTAACAAGTGACACTCACGAACTATTTTTAAAAATTTCGTAATTATATTTTGCACTATCGTTTAGAACAAGGTCGATTCTAATTTTTGGCTTTTTGGCCCTGAACCTCAAAATGAAAAGTTATATTTGATCAAAGTTTGAACGTTTGGGTCGCATTTCTTATTAAAGAAAAAAGGAGACCGCAATTCTTCTTTGGGTATTGAAAATTTAGTCACTGGAAAGTTATTTTCGGAATTTTGGGCTCTAGGTGAAAAAAGCGCAATATTAGGCTTTAAAATTTTGGGATCCGCTGGAATTTTGGGCTCTAAGGGAAAGAAGTCAATGAATACATATAATTCAAAAATAACAGCTTTATCCTGGTCAAGCTAAAACGCGGAACGGACAAAACACGGATTTACCAAAACACGGAACGGCCAAAAGGCGAAACTACCAAAACACGGTCCATAAATATAATAATTCATAAAGCGGTTGATCCCGTTCCTCAGTGCCTCGTTGTTTAGTTGATGTTATACGCGAAGTCGCGCATGCCGCAGCAATGTGTGGACTCCGCAGAGTATAGAAATAGGTTAATCGCACGCAGTAGGGTAATATAGGGAGAGCTCTTCCCTATAAGACTCGATGGATTGGCCGGCCGGCAGCTTTGTTGAATGAATTAAGAAGTGATCTGACTTTGCCTATTCTGACTTTGTCACCCGTTTTATCGGAAGTACAGATTTTAAGGAAAGAAAGTTTTAAAAAATACATGATTGTGCAATAAAGAGGACATGTTTTTTTATTTTTCTGTTGGATTTTCCAGAGTAGGCGGCTTAGAGCCGGGATTCTTTAAGAGAGACTACTGAGGCAACTACTACCTACGAAGCAATTCGAGTTCTGGTTCAATTATCAAATAAATTTAAAAAATCCTTACATCAATGAACTCAATATTTTCAGTTTTGTTATCTTTATTCCATCCACTAAATTTTACACAGTTAATTAAACCATGAATAGCTAGCCAAACCCTTCCAACTTTTGCATTATTTTTATCTAAATGATCGAGGACGTTTGCAATAGATTTTCTAAGATAAATAGAATAATTAATTAAAATACGATCCATTGTACTAAAACGTAATTTGGACTAACTCGGAGTCCAAAGTAATTGGCGATTAACATATTTAATCTGTGACTAAAACTCCCGACTCGGGAAAATTTCCCGAGTTTTTGGCCTCCCGACTCCCGTTTCCCGAGTTTTTTCTTCCCCCGAACATCACTAATACATATTTATTTATGTATTTACAAATTTACCTAGCATCTCCACATAATTCATACTCAGAAGAAGGTTTAACACAAGGAATAAAAGAAATATCAACATTTCCAATCCCTGCAGTTCTAGCATTTATTATATTTAATTCTGCATTTAAATCAACTCTTCCTGAATCATAATAATTAGCTGAAACAATAACAAATTCTTTATAATTTTCTTTTAAACATTTAAATGTTGAAACTCTAAATATTTTATCATTTAAAAAGTAATTCTTAAGGAATGTATAAAAATACTCGTTACCTATACCAAGTTTCCCATATTTTAACTCCTTCACTTGTCTCGACATTTTTAAAAATTGTAAAAAATAAAATGGACTTGAATATAAGCAAAAAATAAATATTGCTCATTCTGAATTTTTTTTACTTTTATTTTATTTACAAATAAAAACAAAGTTTATTTTTATTATTCTATTTATGCTCATTTCTAATAAAATGCTTTACATCATTTTATTATTACCAGAAACACGCATAGCGAACTGAAACCGCGATGGAAAGTAAAATGATTAATTTGTAAAATATTTTTGTAATGCTAAAGTTGAATGTTTTACAAAATTAAATAGAAAAAAATAAAACTTCCATCCAAGCTTTATTCAGGATAGAAGACCTGAAATTGTAGCTCTAAATCCAATTTCATGCGCCTACGAAGTCGAAAAGAGCTGGGTATTTATGGTCTTCCACAGGTACACGAGAAGGTTATTACATAAAATCATAATCAGAAAATTCCATGATTAAATCAGGCCGAGAACAGAAAAAAACGTGAGAAAAAAAAAAAACGTGAGAATTTTCGGTTCAATTTTTAGCCGACAACTGACCCTTGAAAAGAAATCAGCTGATCGACAAATGACGGCACAACACATTGAGACGACTAACAAAATCGAGTTTTGGGAAGCAGAAACGTTTATGAATAGATTTATTTTGTAACAAAAATTTGGAGGAGGTGATTATTTTATAATATGATATTACAAATTGTGAACAATGAAAATATCTAGGTGAGTAATTAATTGTTTGATTGATCAACATCCATTTTTGAAATATAATACTAGTCTGATTTTCAACTTTCCCTAAGTAAATGCCCTCCACGTGAGTCCTCGAATACCGAAAAACCATAGTGGCGATTTGCATATTTTTGGAGTTTAGATATACTATATTTCATCCTAAAAATTTAAATTATTCTAATAATTCTTCCTCCCATCTCCACATATTTTAAGCTCAGAAAGTATCGGGATCATTTTTCCTAAATACTGATACCAATTTTATGTCGGAATACCGATACTAGCCAACTTTTTTTTGTTTGTTACAATTTTTGTGGAGTTTTCTTGATGCTGCAATTATGAAAAATAAAGTGGGTTATTATTATATTTAGTTATGAAACACTTGTTTCTGGGAAAATTTTAAAAAGAATTAATGTATATGTACATAATTGTGAAAAAAAGCAAATAGAAAAATTTATCCTTAGTAAAAATTAAAAAAATTTTTTATTTAACTTTTCTAAACTACAAAATATATATTTAAATATAACTAACAATTCTTCATCAATCTCTTCAAAAATTTCAAATTTTCAATAATTTAGCGATTTTAGTTCCACAAATTCTCTTAAAAGTTAATCTCCTGCTTTACTGGTCCTTCAAAAATACCCGAGCTACAATTTTGAATTTACGCCTAATAATCTTTTTCATCAAATTCTGCATACAATGAGCTCGAATATAATGTTAGATTTTTTATATAAACATAATATAGGTAAGCTATGATTTTTTGTTCAAAGGATATGTAAGCAAAATTTATACAGTAGAGAACGGAAATTTAAAAAAACCTTGATTTTGGTTGCGGACTTTGACCAGATTATTGAACTTGAGTGAAAGAAAATCAAGATTAATGAAAAATGCCTTGATCATGAATATGGATTCAGGTAAATCGAGGCCAATCTCTAGTATACATTACATTAATAATATTTAGTTATCTAAATCTAATTCTAATTTAAATTAAGATAGAGTACAACCCAAGTTGCATCGAACCATACCAGGGTTGCCTAAGTTTGCAGTATCTTAGCCTGCTACATTTAGGATGGGTCTTCCCCTATTTGTGGATGTAATTGTTTTAACTGAGGATTTTTTAGAACCAGTAATGCAGATTACCGTCTCAAAATTATATGCCTTCATTGTAGGCTTTTCCCATCCACCAAAAGGATAACCATATTCATTATAATCGTCAAAATTGTCTTTATTATCGTT